TAGTGGAGAATTACTGCTTGAAGTAGTTATGTAAATAAGACATGAACAAGAGGTGTGAGACTCCATACTGCCTCCTGAAGAACACTTCTTCTGCCTAAGGATAATGAATATTGAGTTTCTTATGTCTTCCAGAAAGTTACCATGTAAAATGGTATCTATTCTGCACAGTCATGACCATTCAACATATACCTTGATATTTTTCATTTTTTTCTTTTTTTTAAATTTTTTTGATATTTTTCATTTTAACAGATCTGTGAGACTTTTATATTATGATGCTTACAGTTTCATATTACTCTTTTTAATGTCTGCACAGTGTTGCATTGTTACGGATGAACTGTAATTCATTTAGCTAGTCAGTGTACATGTGGGTCCTAATTTTTTTTTATCCTTCTGAATACCATGGTAAACATTCTTGTATTTTCATGTTGAATACTGTGTGATTACAACTATATCATTTAGAGTATTCCCTAAAAATGGAATCACTAGACCAAAGTAAAAGTACATTAAACGTATTTGTAAACAGTGTTACACTAGCATCTGCGTATGAGGGTAACCATTTCCCTGGGTTATCAAACTTTAAGTCTTTGCTCATGATACCCCTGTGTGTGTGTATTTCATAAAAAGTGAGATTTCCTGTATTTATAAGTTGTTTTTTCCCCTGTGACCACACTGTGTATATTCTTTTTTTTATCTTTTTTTATTATTATGTTATGTTAATCACCATACGTTACATCATTAGTTTTTGATGTAGTGTTCCATGATTCATTGTTTGTGTATAACACCCAGTGCTCCATTCAGTACGTGCCCTCTTTAATACCCATCACCAGGCTAACCCATCCTCCCACCTCCCTACCTTCTAGAACCCTCAGTTTGTTTTTCAGAGTCTATAGTCTCTCATGGTTCATCTCCCCCTCCGATTTCCCCCACTTCATTTTTTCCCTCCTGCTATCTTCTTCTTCTTCTTCCCTTTTTTTAACATATAATGTATTATTTGTTTCAGAGGTACAGATCTGTGATTCAGCAGTCCTGCACAATTCACAGCGCTCACCATAGCACTGTGTATATTCTTTGCCTATTTCCCTAACAGTTTATTGGGCATTTTCTTTCTCATTTGTAGGAACTCTTTATATTTTAAGGAAATTAGTCCTCTGTCATCTTAGATGTTACAAATATGTTTGTACTACTTATTTTATTTCAATTTTATTAATATTTTTCTCTGTTGAAATGAATTATTTCAAATTTAACTCTCTTTTGGTATAGTTTCTGAATTTGACGTCTACAGAGTTTTACATACAAAAATGCTTTCTTCCCCCCTGTTTTCTTCTATTCCTTTGAGTTCTGTTTTTTATGTTTAACTATTCAAGCCATCTATAATTCACTTGAGTATATGGAGTGAGACCAAAATACCATATAATTTTTTCTAAATATCATATCATGCTGTTGACAAAATTGCCTCATATTTGAGTGCAAAATAATAAAGCTAGATCCATACTTGGTGCTTGCAAAGAACCAAGAGAGGGCTATTAGAACTCAGTGAAGGAAAAGCAGCGTTGTCTGGACAGCAGGCAAGGAGCTGCTCTGCAGGGCTTTGTAAGTCAGGGTTGTGAATTTGATCTTATTCAAGTAGTATTTCTTTTTCATGTTGGTTTCACATGTTTCTCTCTATATAAAATATATTTTAGTTTTTTTAATCCATTGAACATTTAAAATTTTCTGTATTATTAATACAACAGACACACTATTATTTCCATCATTACATTTCTGTCATGTTTTTAGCTCTTAATGTTTCCTTGGTTTCTATCTTTTGTCAAAATTCTTGTCCTGTGTTACTTCCCTAAGGACTTGTAAACATTCCCACTGGCCTCTGGTATTGTACACTGCTGGGGAGAAATGTGAAGCCGATTGATCTTTCCCCTTGTAGGTTAGCTGCTTTTTCTGCCAGAATATATTAAAGAAGCGATCTTATAAAATTTTAACTCATTAATTCACATATCAGGATATGGGTAGATGTTAATCTTTCTTTTTCTGTGGTTTTGTTTCCTGGAGACAAACGGTGCTCTCCCTATTGGCTGAGTAAGGTATTAAGAATATTTCAGAATTTTTCTTTTATTATATCTTTGGACTTTTTTTTTCTATTCTACTTGTTCTTTTTTTTTTTTTTTAAGGTACACCTTTTAGGAATTTTTTGGTTATCTTTGAGAGGCTATCAGTTTCTCTTAAAATGAATGTTAAACTTTTATGCTTTGTTTGACATTTGTTTTCCCAAACCCTCCCTCCCTACCCCTAAATGTGGTGTCAGCAGTATCAGTTCTGGGAGCTATCCCCCTTTATATGCCTTTTATCTGCAACATTGACTCTTATTTGTTATCTTCTTTGATATCTTAGACATCTTACTTTAGCTCTTGTTTCAATGAAAAGCCATATTTTCTTGAGCTCTTCTGTGCTTGTCAAGAGCATTCAAGATATTCTTCTGCTCTGTGACCTGGTTCTTTCTGTAGAGATTATTTCATGTTATTGTCATTTATTCATCTATCATATTATTTCATATACATATTTATTTATTTATGTTTTCCTTATTATTTTCTGATAATGTCTAGGGAAGAGGGGCTACAAAATTGTCTCAGAACACTTTCTCAATCAAATGTTCTGCTTCTTCCACACTGGTCACCTGTCTCTTTGCAGCAAAATGCACCTCCCTCACTGCCATTTCTCCTCCTTCGGGGAGTTGGAGGGCCATGTGTCTCACACTGAATGTCTGTATGTTATGGGTTTTCTGTTAAATGAGTTTGCATTAATTTCTTTTCAGGTTCCTCCATCAGTGTCTGACCAGTTGATGGCCATTTATGCTCCCTACTTTACCCTGCCATCCTCCTCATTGCTTCTTGGGGGGAAACAGCATGTGTATTTACATTGCCCCTCAACCTCAGTTTGCTTGCTATGCTGAATGGGGCAAGGGACCTCAGCCATGACTTGCCCTGCTTCTAGATTTCACCCTTTAAATAAGAGGTGGTTCAGCTGTTTCTTGGATTGTTCCCCCTGTTTCCTAGAAAACTTTATACTCTGTAGGTTTTGTCTGCTATCAGCAGTCCCCCTTGTTTGAGCTAATCTTGTCGCATTTATTATTTCCATCTGTGTCATCTGTCTTTTAATAAAGGCTATCCCATACTTTCGTTGAAAATAGCTATTTTCTATTTTCAATTATTTTTGCTGTTTTCACTTGATGGTAGGGAAGGGGGAATAGCTATAGAAATATCACTACTCTACCTTCAACAAAAGATGACGAGTTAACTGAATTAAGCAATAAAATAGTTAAGTGTTCACTAGATATTTATCAGTGTTTGCTCACTTGTTTGAATAGGAGAATATAGAAGTATAACACAATCTTGGGGAAATAAAGTTACAACTCTTGAAACAATTTACAAATATGCTTGAATCAGATGTGGATCCAGGCTCTCATTGCACTAAAAGCTTGGTTGAAGTATTGATTGTCAAGGCCTTCAGTGGTTAGAAAGCAGTGCAATTGGAAATGTTGTTTTAGGGACAGCTAATATTTGAACAGGTGTTGTAAAAAATATTCGGAGTGCAGAACACGGCACCAATTTCTGATTCTTAGTCCCCCATCAATATTTCTTGGCTGAGAACAGCCATGCCTCATGGGGACCTCTCAGGAGACAGTTGGATTTAAGAGTGAGTTGGCATGTAGAAGGATTTTTGAAGGTTAGCAAGCTTATCGTAGGTTTAGGAGAGATCCGTAGTAGTTTTTTGAACCAGGGGATGAGATAATGAAAGCTGTGCTTAAGAAAACTTCATTTGGCAATTGAATTGAGGTGATTTCATTTGATCCCACTGGGGCTCGGTGAGTCCTTTGTACTAGGTATCCCACTCAGTACAGTTGTACAGTGTAGGGAACAGTTCCTTTTGCAAGAAGCTTAGTCTGGTGGATTTAAGAAACTGATTTGGAAAAATCTGACTCAGTAAAATTTCAATAGCGGAGTTGACCTCAACTCTTACTATCACGGGGTAGCTGTTCTGTGTTGCCATTGTAGTTCTACTCTAGTAGCAGATTCAGTCTGTCATGGTTTTTACCACTTAGGTGGATTCTATGATTTACACAGGATGCTTTAAAATCTACCTCCAAATCACTGGAATCCTGTTGTGTCCCATAAATTTAGATGACTTTTAAGCAGCGGCATTTTGTATTTCATTTATCCATATTCGCGTCCTTCTAAACCAGGTTTTCCGCCAGCCTCGTGATGGCTCGTCCCTCTTCTAATGCACTCTTACTGCCCCACATCTTCTCCTAATTATGCCTGCCTGATGGCTCCTTCTCTGAAATATTTTTATTCCCTGACATTTTGCTCCACAGTTGTTTTTTATGTCAGTCTTGCTTAATCAATTAGAATTATAGTCCACTTGAAGACATAAATAATCGTCTACATTTTATTTATTTATACATCCCATGTTACTCCTGAAGATGACTTGAGCATGTTCCTTCCATATTACTGTGTTTTGACCTTGGCTGAAGTGGTGGATGTCCGATTAAGGGGGGGAGGGTGATATTTTATGAGCTAAGCACACAAATGACCAATAAAGGAGTTTCTGTTGTTTTTTATTTATGGTTTTTATCTGTTTGAAAGTCCTACAAGGATCAATCATATTTACCAAATCAACTTTATAGGGAAAAAGAGCATGAATTTGAGACTCTTCCAGTCAATGAGAAAGCATTGCCACAAAACATATTTGATATAAATTAAACATAAGGTGCTTTTCTGTAAATATGTGCACATTACCAAATTGATGTATGTGTTCAGTATAAATTTCCCTTAAAATATTGGTACAATGTGATATTGGGACCTTATATTTTATGAAAGAAAGACCGCCACGTCCTGTGGCTCTTTATCCCTCAGCAGCTGGGTCCAGCTGGTGGTCCGCATTCCCCTGCTACTTCTTCAGTGAATGGAAACATTTAGGTCAATATTGATATAAAACTTCTTGAACTTTCTTCTCTTTCAGCTTTGGTTCGCCTTTGTTAATGGATTTTCTGGGCAGATTTTATTTGAACGTTGGTGCATCGGCTTGTACAATGTGGTAAGCATTCTCCATCTCTATCAGATAGCATGCAGAACTTCAGTGACATTCCTTTACTGTTTATGTCTGGGAAGTGTATCTAAGTCAATCATCTGTATACATAGCAGGCAGCACAAATACATCTTTAGAGCCTTTGTTGCTGGGACACATCCTGCAGAAGCCCAAGCTCTCCACACATGGTTTCAATCATAGCAGATCATTCTTGAATAACCCCATGAAATTATTAACCCATATATCTTGATAATAGACCCTTGTTACCTCCTTACTAAATGCCTGCACAACATTTCCATGTTTTTAGCTCAAGTAAAAATTTCTGAGCTACATCTCAACCTATTCCACTTCATAATTTTATATCTGAATTCCTAAACATAGACACGCATATATAGCACATAATCTAGTGTCCTTTTTGTCCTTCTTAAAAGAGTATCTGTCCTTGTGGAAGAATGTTTTCTTCCACTTCTAGTGCTAAAGTAATGAATGCTGACTTCCAGCTCCCATGGTGAATGGTAATCAGCTTGTTCCATATTTTGCATGATTTTAGAGTTCTTTTTTCATTACTTCACTATTGTGGATTCAAAAGCTAGAAATAAATATGAACTACAAGCCAAAAATGACAAAGTGTAGCTACTTGGCTTTTTGTTTAGTGGTGAGAACTAAGGGGCTCATAGCCTGGTGCTTTAGAGACCCCAGCATGCAACATTTTGAGTTGCACTTTCCCATGTCTTTTGGACACTAACTCTGACGTTGCCTGCCCTATGGGAGTTTATAGTCAGAAGCAGCCATCATAGGTAGATATAGATGGCAGTTACCAGACATACAGTATACATTGTGGTGCTATAAATATTTAGTTTGTGTATTCATATGTGGCTGGATGTTCAAGTCATCTGTGCACTCAGTCTTTTTCTTTTTTAGTAGCTACGATGCTAGGTGCTGGGTATAAAATGCTGCATATGACAGGTTGCCCCAGCCCTATGTAGCTTGACAGGTGAAGAGGCTCAAATAGATAGACTAAGCTACCACTAAGCCTGAGTTCATATCTTGAGTTTAAACGGCATTGGTCGGTTAGGAACTGTACGCTAGCACATTTATTACTAATACTTAGGCTCGAAAGGCAAAGGTGACCATAGTGAGAGCAGGGCTGAATCAGTGCCTGTTCATCACCTGTGCCCTAACAGCTACTCTAACTCACTTACCACATGGATAGAGGCTCAAGGACCTCCCCCGGACAGATTGTTAACTTTGCAGAATTTAAAACTGTTTTGAGTAGATTAAAATTATGCTGACTGCTCCATAATGATTTGGTGCCAGAAAGGGCCAAATCCATACCCATACACGTATTTATAAATAGGAAGCTGAGACCTGTGAACCTGTGCTTTAGAGCTAAGGACTGGAATACAAGTCCCCTGGTCACACGAGGCATGGAAGCTAGCCCTACTTTTGTGCTCAGGCATGACAGCTGGATTATTTTCTTAGCTCTGTGCAGCCTTGGGCAATTGAAATTAATCCAACAAACTTGTACTGAGGGCCTGCTATGCGTAAGATGCTGATAGGCTATAGGACAGGGTTGGTCAAAATAGGGTCCACACACCACTTACATTAGAATAACCAGGATTCGTTTGAAGATGCAGATTCCTAAGCCCCATCAGAGTTTCTCAGAGATACTGAGAAACAAAACAAAATGTTAAACACATTTTTTTTTAGGAATGGTTGTGCATATGATAGTTTAGGACCCACGATGATCTTTGATCCCTAGAGTTGGGAATGTGTGGTACGCTCTTTGTGTCCCCCAGACTATAGAAAAGAGAATATTGCAGGAGAGAAGTGAATTTCCAGGTGAAATGGCCCATGTCACTACAGGTACACAGTACAGGTGTTAGAGTGAGTGAGTCACCAACCAGTGGTGGCAGAGTTGGGACTGTCAAGGATCTGTGAAGTGGTCTCAGAAAGGTGTTGGTCTCCAGAAGTCATTCATGCTGGAAGGGCCAAACCTTTTGAGAACATGGAAGTCTGTCCCCGTAGAAATTATTTTGGTAAATTTTGTTTGAAATAAATTGAAACTCAGAGAAATATTGCAAAAAGAGTACAAAGAACTCCTGTATTAGATTCCTCAGTTATTAGCATTTTGTCCTCATTTGCATTGTCTGTCTGCACACGTGCATGTGTGTGCACACCCCCCATGGGCACTCGTGGCACACACACACCAACACACTCATTTCTGAACCACTTGAAAATAACTGAAGACATCAGGCCCCCTTACTTTGGTGCATAGATGCTAAGACCACGGTCTTATATAATCACAGTATAATGACTGAAGTCTAAAATTAAGCATGGATACAATACTATTATCTGATCCATATTAGTCCGTATTCCAGTTTTGCCATTGCTGTTCCAATAATGCCTATTTAGTAGGTTTTTCCCCCTCTAGCTGCACTGCCCAGAGTACAGTATGGTACAAGAGGCAGTTTGGGACATCTGAGATGTTCACTAGTGATCCCTCTTCTGGGCTGGATTTCCTCTTGCCATTTTCTCCAAACAGCATTTCTGTCTTGCTTGTGTTGCTTTTTCTTCTTCTGTATTTACTCTTTATATTTATATTTGATTCCCCAGGCCAGCTAAAGTAGCGAGTCATCATTTCTCGTAGCAGATTAAATAGCATTAAAACTGACTTGAAACTCTTAAATCTCTCAGAATAATGAATGAATGTCATCCCATTGGATTCTCATTATATCCATAATCAAATTTCTCCATCGTTTTATTTTATGGTTACTAGAACCACCATGATCAAATGGATTTCAGTTAGATTTCATCCTTATTTTATTAAGAGATAACTCTTAATGTGTTTTAAACTGTTTCAAAAATTTATCCCTTTTAATCTTACCAAGTCAGAATAATTTGAAGAAAAAACTGTGAGCCAGCCTCGCTTGTAAACAGTATTATAAAAAATCTAAATAAAATAGCAGCAAATAGAGTTCAACAATGTATCAAAAGAGTAAAATATTTGACCAAGTAGGGCTTATTTCAGGAATATAGGAGGTTCACACTTTTTAAATATTTCTAAATATCATTATATCAACGAAAGAAAAAAGAAAAACCTGATCTCATCAGTGGTTGCTGAGAAAGTATTTGAGGCAAGTCAGCTGCCATTCCCAAAATAAGAACTCTAAGTAAAATAGGAAAGAAAAGCCAATTAACCTAATCTAGACTATTTATAAAAAACAAACAAAAAAACAAAAAAACAGCGTATTGCCATAAATGGCAAAATTCTTAAATAAGAAATTAGTCAGGGATGCCTGAAATCACTATATAATTCAGCATTGTTTTTGGAATTTTCAGCACCTGCCAAGAAAATTAACTATTACAAATACTAGAAAAAAATGATTTCTGTGCTTATACAAATATGCACACAAAAAGTGGCCTTTTAAATGTGTTCATAAATGGCTGTATATCAGAAAACTCAAAAGATACCAGTAAAGAAATACTAGAATTATAAGAGAATTTATAAGGCGACTAGATCCATAATAAATATATAAGGACCAATAGCTTTTTTCTATCCTAGCAATCAATAGCTTTTTTTTTTTAACTCTAGCAATGGCACTTAGAAATGCAAAGGTATAATAATTACTTTCATATACATTGCATAGGAATAATTTTTACAGTACCAAATAGAAAAAAAAATCCAAAATCTTATTGAAGTATACAAAATAGAGTTGAACAAATAGAAAGCCTTTCTTTCGTGTGAGAAGATGGTATCATAAAAAAACTCCTCTAAATTGATATATAAATTTATGTATTCCAAATAGAATCCCAGTGATTGTTTGGTGGGGGGCGGGGAGGGAGTTGCATGAAATGATATTGAAGTATAAATGGAATTAACACATACCTGAGAATAAAGATGTAAAGTACAAAAAAGAACAATTGTAAGGGTCAACTTCTCTCTACTAAACATCATTCTATACTACAAACCTATTGTAACCAAGTCAATGTGATGCTGACATGAAACTGGACTAATAAGTTAGGGAATCCAGAAGTAAATTCCAGTTTTGGATTCCAGATCTGTAGTATGTAAGAATTTAATAAGTGTCAAAGGTGCTATTTTAGGTTAATGGGAAATGTTTGGATTAATTGGGTTCTAACAACTGGCTCTTTATTTGGAAAAAATAAAATTAGACTTCTGTCTTTACCACATAGATAAATAAATTCCAGATATGTTAAGGCTTACATGTGAAAAATGGAAACTGTAAGCTTCCTGCAGGAAACTCCTGAAAACTTTCATAACCATAATTGGACTCTCAAAGCTATTCTTGACCATATAAAAATTAAACACTTTTATACGGCAAGAGAAACCATAAAGAAAGCCAGGAGACAGAGTGCATTTGGATGAAACTTTATAATATAAAGACAGAATGGATATCTGTTATACTCCAAGAACCCTTAGAAAAGTGGATAAACCACAAATAGAAAACAGACAAAGGACCTGACTAGACCATTCACAAAATTGCAAGTCCAAATGTCCAACAAATAAAAACATGCTCAAACACACCAATTGTCAGGGAAATGTAAAGTTTTTAAGATTTATTTTTTTATTTTAGAGGGGGGGAGAGAGAGAGAGAGAGAGGACAAGCAAGTGCAGGGGGTGGGGAGGCAGAGGGAGAGAGAAATAGAGAAACTCTAAGCAAACTCCGCGCGGAGCACAGAGCCCGACTCGGGGCTCGATCCCAGAACCCTGAGATCACAAACTGAACTAAAACCAAGAGTTGGACGATCAACCAACTACACCACCCAGGTGCCCCAGAAATGTAAATTTTTTAAAGTAAGAGTTAATATCTCCAATTTTTTAGTCTGGAGAATGTTAAATATAACACCCATTGCTGATAGGGAAGCAGGGACAAGATTACTGTTGTCCTTTGTGAAGGGAAAGGTAAACTCTTGTGAAAGCAACCAAGCAGCATCTTATAAAATTTACAATAAATGTATCTTTTTACCCCACCACCCTGTTTCTGAGAAACTTTCCCATAGAAATAAAAGATAAAGTATATATATTATAATATATTGTAGATGTTTTTTATATAATGTTTGTGGAACAAAGAAGTGGAAAGAAATGAATGCCTATCTGTAGGTGAATAGCTTAAAAAATACAGTGCATTCATACTATGAATTACTATGTAGGCATGCGAAAGATTACATTAGTGTCAAGCCCAGGGGACTTGAAGGACATCCCATAATGCATTGTTTTGTGAGAGAAATATGATGAAGAAAAATGTGTAATAATGTCTGGTTTCTGTAACAACAAAGAATGATCCCCAAACAGTATATGTATGTGTATGTGGTATGTTGTAAGCAGGGTGAAAAATATGGTCAGCCCTACCGGGTAGTTGGCCATTGGTGAAGGGTAGGATGCTTTGAAGTGGGTAGAAAGTCAAGTAAAAAAGAAAAGAAAAAAAAAACACACAAAAAGCAAGATGGCAGTATCAAGTGTGCATGATAGCACATTTAAGCAAAACCACAAGGGTGAGTTGATGTACTAAGAGTGTGCAAAACCTCTGAGATGTCTGTTAGGAGCATCTCCCTTAAAAAGACAACTTGTATCCCTGTGCTGTTTTCCTCTCTGCTCCAGGTTGAAAGAGGAGCCTGCAAGTTTTATTGGCCTTCCTCCACCATATCTCTGATTGCTTTATCCTAAGAGATTTAGAAAAGGCTTATTTATCTGGACTCAGGCTCCCAGTAACTGGTGTACACAGTGTTCTCAGAGGCACACGTCCAGTTCCCACGGGCTTGAGGGCTTGCTGGGTCTGCGGATATGGATTTGCTCGATGCTGATGCTTAGCAGCGAGTGACCCAGTCTGTGAGCCATTCCCAGAACCAAGTAAGAGAATGGCCTGCAGGACTGCTGTGCCCTCTGGGCTGGAATGACATCTTTATTCCAAACCTCTTCTTCAGGATCTGGCTTTCTCTTTCCAAAACACAAATATGAGTGTGTCCGCCTCCTATAGATTACAGGTAAAGTTAAAAGTCTCAGAAGGCACCATCTGCCCAAGAAACTCATTGTCATGGGAGCTTGCGGTCTCCTTCCCAGCCCTGTCTTATGCCCTGTCCTCAGCCAGCCAGCACCCTGGATGTCTTACAAGTCCAACCCCCACCCCCAAATGTACCACATGTGTTCAGACCTGAAGCTTTGTGAGGGGTGCCTGTTTCAGGGGAGTCCTTCCTTCTGTGCCCCTCTCCCCGGCACACCTTTTCCTCCTGCCAAATCTCATAGGTCCAGTACCTTACAGGTCAGGCACTCTTGTCCCAGAGTCCTTTCTTGACTCTCCCTTCTCCTTCTCCACCCTCTCCCCCATGAGTTTTGCAGAGCGCTGTGTTTTCTGTGTTTATTTATACGCCTGCTGCTGGCTGCCCGTCTCCACCTCTGCAGTAGACAGAGTTCCTGGAGGTCAGGGACCTGCTTCTTTTCCTTCTTCTTCTGTCTTTAAATCTCCGTACCTATTCCTGGTACTTATCACAGTGTCTGGCCCATAATTCATTCCCAGTAAATGTCTGTCAGATGAATAAATGGATGAAGCACATCATGCTTCTTGAAATCTGAGTATAAGATCAGGATGGGAAATTGTAAAGTTGTGCCTCAGCCGATGCTCACGGAAAGCACGACACTTCACAAAGCCACCTAAATCACCGCTCATTTGACATAGGAAGGTAGTTGTTAATTTAACATGATTTCTTAGCTAATCAAATATTTATGGTGTTGTTTTTAATGTCCAGTGGATTCATTTTATGCTGATTAAGTAACAATTAAAAACGGTCTTTCATGCACTTTCTTTGTTTGGAGGGTGTCTGGGGAGTTGTGAATCATTGAATCTCAGGTTCGGACTTGACTTAAAATTAAGTCATCATTCCACAGAACGGAAGCACCTAAGCCAGGTGAATTGGAATGTCCTCTTTTAATGGCTCATTGTTCTCCATACAGATTTTCACCGCACTACCACCCTTCACTCTGGGAATCTTCGAGAGGTCTTGCACCCAGGAGAGTATGCTCAGGTTCCCACAGCTCTACAAAATCACCCAGAATGCGGAAGGCTTCAACACAAAGGTACACAGTGTTATTGCAGAATTGTCACCTCAGAAGGGCATAAGCACTGCTGTATGTCTTCCAGCTCTAGTTATCTGCCGGTGAGAGAGCTAATGCATTAGAGAGAACATTTGAGAAGAGGTGAGACCCCCGCCCTCTCCCAGTGTAGCAAGCCAGTGAATTCAAGATGCCAGCTCAGAAAGGAAGCTTCCATGCTGCAAGTTCAGTTCCTGTTTGTTGACTGCTTTCCTCTTGTCCACGTGTGGCCAGCAGCACCCATGGCCCTGGGGCCTTTAGGATCAGCTACAGAAGCTCCCCTTACCCTTCATAAAGCCCTGCATTGAGGCGGGCTGGGAGCTTGCCTAACAGAGCCTTCTCGCCACCATGGCTTGGTTTTTCTTTAAAAGAAAATGTTTCTTTAGCTAGTGAGAAAAATTGGCCAGATGTCAACACAGGAATCAAGTCAGTCATAGGTATCTTTTTTTTCAGACTGGAGAATCAGAAGAGAGAAAGCCCCTAGACCTGAAAGGTATAAATAATCCTGTGAAGGGCCAAGCAGAAGCTGTGTTAGGTGTTGCCAGGATTCTGCAGTCAGGATGGGCAAAGGGGACATCATGGGGTCTGCCAGTCTTAGCTAACTGGCAGAGTGGTTGAGGGCCACCAGCCAGGAGGGAAGACCTGTGCCTGGCTTGGTGCAGGTCGCCTGTATTGCCATGTTTCTGTCTTAGATGTTTGTGCAGGAGGGGAGATTAGGAAGTTGAAACAGAGGTTCATTGAAACCTTTTAACAGAGGTCAGTGAAATTACTGGACACCAGTTGTGTGCATGATTTGCTTGGGTAGCCCCCGGGGCCTCGGTAAGGATGCCAAGGGGAGTCCTCCATAAGAGAACAATCTCTGAAGCTTTTGTTTTGAGCCAGGTATTACTGATAGTCTTCTTTCAGAGCTGCCTTATTTTGAGGAATGCATAACAGGCACATCCAAGCCTGGAAAAAACAAAATGGATCCTATTGGTCCTAGTGTCTTCCATACACAGGAAGACTCGGATGAATAATTGTATCAGTCCCTGTTTACTATGATTTTATCAATGGGAAGCAGGGCCTGTTGGCTCTGCGTTCTTTTTATAAATCTGTTTTTTACAGAGCTTGAGTTCAAAGGCCCTGTAAGATGGGAAGTAAGTCGGGAATGGAGCCACTTAAAAGGTAGTAGAGCTGAGAATGCTCTGAGACTTATTTGCAGACACTTTGGAGTTTTTGTTTGTTTGTTTGTTTGTTTTTTGAAGGCGTAAGTGAAGAGGTTAGGGAGAAGGAAGAAAAAAATGAACATTTAAAAATGGGAAAATCCCATTGTCTTACAATTTTTTTCGTTTTTCTGTTTCCCCACCACTACTTAGGATCAAACTATATGACAATCCCCAGAACAATCTAGATTTTTAAAAATAAATTCAAGCTGGCTTCAGTATAGTAGTTCTGTCATCTCAGTAGTTAAAAAGATCATTGAAATGCATTTATGAAAACTTAATTTAGAAGAAACTAAACTTTGTGTTCTTTTGTGTGACCTTTGAAGTGTTAAAGAGAATTTTTAAATGTGCATGATATTAACCAAACTCCTAGAAATTAACAAGTTGCTCGGGAGGGATTTTAAAAAGCAAAACAAAAGAAAGAGCGAGAGCGCCGTGTAGGAATCTACATTTAAAGTGTTTTTAATGCTTTCAAAAAGTCCACAGTTCCTGTCTCTTGTTAACAATTTTGACCTAATACCTTTCTCTTTCTAGATGATTGTAAAAGTCTGTTGTCTTTTTATGATCCTAAAAAAAAAAGGATTATAATTCATTTTTTGGATGTGGATAGATTGTATATTGGTCCATGTATATGTGCATATATATTTAGGTCTTTGCAGCATAGTAATGTTATCTGGAGACAGTCCAGTCATTTGTATATAAAAATGAGGAAATTGGTATTTTTTTAACTTCAAGAATAATACGCTACTTCTGGAGCGATGCAGCCCACTGCCAGTATCCTTCACAATGAGGCATTTGTTGAGTTGCACAGAGGTCAAGAGTTGTGGGCAGCTCCTGACTCCCTTGGTTTGTTTTCCCTTAGGTTTTCTGGGGTCACTGCATCAACGCCTTGGTCCACTCCCTCATCCTCTTCTGGTTTCCCATGAAAGCGCTGGAGCATGGTAACGGCTTCATGATTTCAACTGTCAGCAAGTAGCTCTGCAGTCCCTCTGGTGCCAGTTGTTCACAATTTTTTTTTCCCAGTTCTGCAGACCGAGAGATCACAAGAACACATTTTAGAAGAAAAACATACCTAAAATCTAATGAGAGCTGAGGCTCAGTTTATAGCCTGTAGGTTTCATCCATTCTGGCTCTGAGAGCCCATTTTCTTTCCAGTTGCCTGGAGAGTTTAAAGGCTAGAAATTCTAAACTGTATTTTTAATAACTGAGTTGAGGATCTTGAAGCAAAGCACTGTACTGTAATGAAACATCGATGCCCCTCGTCCACGAGTTTGACATTTTCTGTTAATTTCTTGGGTTTTCATTTTCCAACCTCATATACCTCTATGCAGAAGCACTCAAATCTTGTGAGAGTCTAACCTTACACCTAGTTTCTTGAAAAAGTCTCCTTTCCTTGACATACACTTTTCAAGCAACCTTTTAAATTTTGAGGCCTGATTCTCTCCGCTGGTTTTAGTCTTTCCTCCAGCTGGAAGAGAACATGTGAGAAACGTGGCTGCCTGTATTTGCTCACACTCCTGAATACATCCAAAATGTTGCCTCCTAACGAGACGCACCTTTTAGTCTCAGAAAAGGGAAACGGATCATGAGAATGCTACTCTTTCATCCCTCTCAAATAGTAATAATCCCCTTGGGAAAAATTACTCCAAATGTTGACTAGACAAGGCCTTTTATTGTTCAGAGAACCAGAGAATATAAAGCTTCCAAGCCTCTTTGTCTCTATGTCAATCTGTTTTGTGCTTCAAACAGAAATGATTCATCCTCACTGATATTCTTTAACCTATTAAATACCGACAGAGAAAATGCATGCACAGCCAATTTATTACACCCTGTGACCTGTTCTTTGAGTTTCATCCGACCTCCTTTTCCTTCAAGGGTCCCTAAGTCTCTAGATCAAGAAATAAAATGTTCTGCTTCTAACCGCCCCCGCAACATGGGCCATTCTAGCAAAATCATGTCCTTTGAACTCTAAAGCTTTCCTGTGATTCATCTTTACTCAGTGTGGATTTTTATGTATTTTGAGTGAGTAGGGGCTACAAATAGAAGAGTGTTGAATGTGGTTTGTTTTAGAAGCTCCGCCAGTTTGGTGATATAAGCTGCCATCACTGTAGCAGGATGGACTGGGGATGTGAAGCAATTTGTCTGATGAGCTTAAGAACAATTTGGACAGCTGTGCTCTTATCCCTGAGCCCGTACTCAGGAAGACACGGGGACCAGCATGGACTGGACCACAAGTACCATCGCCAGGCCCCTTACCCTTCTTATCTAGACATTGCACTCTGGTCCTAACTCCAAAGTGCTTGCCTTTGGACTCTCAGAAGATTTATAAGATGGTCATTGAATTGCTACTAATGTGGCCCATTCTGCAGTAGAGGAAATGGTTTCCCAATCCTGGAGTTAGGATTATGCACTTTGAAATTGCAGCTTGCTGTTTATGGTGGAATTGCTATAGTCTCCCTAGATGCCACTATGTAAATCTGTTCATTCACCTGAAATAGCCTGTGTTTAAAAGCAGACAGACTCCCAAAAGTTACTAATTTACCTGAGAGATAACACCAAATGAATTTCAAGTCCATTTCTGCCACCCTTATCCATGTCCCTCAAATTTGGCAATTTGCCTAGTAGCCAGCCCATAGCATGAGTTTTTCCAGTTTGTATTATCACTATCATCATCAATGCCATTATTTCATTGTATGTATTAAGCCTTCGGCATAGAGATTTTCTTTTAATTATGTTGTAAACATTAACCTATTGAGTGAAAATGTGTAAGATGAAATAAATTGCAAATATTAATTATATTTGGCAGAGAATTATAGAAGGCCATTGGTGTGCTTGTTCATTAGTTGGCTTCCTCCAGCAAATGAATATTTTAGAATTAATTTCTAAATTCTCACTATTAATGCATAGCAAAGATGATTGCATCATTGCTCATTAACCTTATTCATGCAATATTTATGTCTAAGGCACTGTGGATTCTAAGGGTGAAAAGTGAATGAATCAACGTGGGTCTTACCGTCAAAGAGTTTGTAGTCTGGTAGGGAAACTAGATTCATGCATGGCAACTTCTAGTACAAAGTAGAAAATAATTGCCTCAAGTAAAATACAGATAATGTGCTGTGGGATTTCAGAGGGCTGAGAGAAAACTGCCTTTCATCTGGGATTATTAATGACTTATTAGAAGAGGTAATATCCAGGCTTAGCCTGGAAGTCCAAGTAGGATCGAGATGTGTAAGAATGGAAGGAAGAGCCAAACAAAGTGGGGAATTTCAGGGCAGATGTGGAATGCTGCAAGGAGTCGATCCCTTCAAGGTGGAGGACAGGAGGAGGTTTGAGAAGGTGGGTGAAAGCTGGACAGCACAGGGTTTTGAATGTGATGTTAAGAGGTCAGGACTTAAGTTGTTAGGTGAAGAGTTAGGTGAAGAGAACAGCAGAGGGAGAGGGAGCCTGATGTGGGGCTTGATCCCAGGACCTGGAGATCATGACCTGAGCCGAAGGCAGATGCTTAACCATCGGAGCCACCCAAGTGCCCCCAGCCTAGATTTTAGATCAAGGAGACTACCATGATCAGAGGCATTTGAGGGACTGAATGTATCATGTCTGGTAAGGTGAATGGTAGAAGGAGAACTAGAGGCAAGAACACTAGTTGTGTGTCCGGGTATTACAGGGAGCGTGTAAGGAGAGTTACACCCAGGAAATGGGAATGTGCTTGAAGAGGAGGGAGCATGTTTTTAGAACCTCTTGATTTAGCAGCATCACAGCATATCTGTGATGTGCCAGACCCTGAGAGGAGTGCACAGGTCAAAATGCTTCCTCTCCCCTCCCCGCCCCTGGCAGCTTCTGGGAGGTCAGAGCTGATGATCAGGAGATGTGTATATCACTGCTTCATGGCCAGTGTGCTGTGTGCTGTGGGGACACAGCCCAGTCCAGTGGGTCAAGGAAGAGGCTTCTCCGAGGAAGTGACATTTATGTTCTTGAAAGATGAGGAGGGGCTGATCAAATGGGGCAGGACAGGGGTGGGAAAAGTTGGGGAGAGAGAGCATTTCTGGACCAACCAGGCAAGCACACAAACCTGAAGACACCATGGGCAGTATTTCCCAATGTGGGGCTGGAGGTTACCTGGATTCCAGACTTTGTTGGGCTCCCTGATGAGCATTTCAGGATGCTGGACAGCAAATGTTGGTAACCTTCCCTCCTTCTTTCCCTATCCTCGTGCAAGTATAATAGATCAAAACATGTCTTCACATATTCCCAACATCCCCTGGGTCAGCAGTGGCACCCGCAGTCGGGAGTGGCTGGAAAGGAGGGTGGGAGGTTAGGGTTAGGTAAGGGTCATGTCAGGAAAACCCAGGTGTGGACTTTTCTCAGTGAGAGGTTGGAGGTAGGAAGACTGCTGTGTAGAAAAACACATAATGTTTGGCAAGAGCATGAATTTTTTGGGGGGGGTTGGTGGGAGGGAGAAAGAAATTCAGTGGTGGAAATCAAGAAAGATTGCAAGTTTGAGAAGCAGGGATATGGCAGCTGATTGGATTACTTGTTTATATGTGCTGATTTACTGTCTTTACTATAAATGAGTTCCTGCTACACTTTGAATCACCATTTAGAATGATGTATCACCCCACCCCCAAAGAAACGCAGGAACATGGCACTGATTTGAGAGGAACTGAGACACTTTCAAAGCCTGGGGGACGCTGATCTAACAGAGGAGTGTCTCTATCCACCCCCAAGTCCCACCTGAAGGTGTCCCCCAGACTCTAACCCACACCCAGGGCCCTAAAGGAGTTTTGCCTGATGGGCTAAGGTCCCTAGAGTCCTTCATTTCATTGTTCCACACTTTGTGGATTATGTCACAAAAATGGTGAATTTTACTAGGGGCTTCCCTCTCCACTATCCATGAAGAGAGGCTTAGAGGCTTACATACCAGTGTTGTTCACTTTGGGCACATAATTGTCGGGAAGAAATATTTTTGAGAAGGTGTGAGCCCGTCATTCATTCCTTAGAAAGGTTCCAAGTATTTTGCTTTGCTTATTTTTGCGTGGTTTTGGATAGACCTTTCAAAGCACTCCTTTGCTGATGGAGTTTGTGATGATTCATTTCAAGTTTCAAAATAAATTTTTCCACTCAAGCAATTCAGCAAATCAGATTTCTTCCAACCATCACAACCTTACGCTCAGTCCCCAAAGCCTGTCTGCAGCTCCCACCCTTTGATCTGAAAGTGAGTCTAGGTTAAAACCGGAGATGTCACCTTTGCAGGGACCGAAATTCATCAAGACCCTTTGTGTCAGGCCACTCAGGTTTTCCATTGGTGGTATCCAGTCTGCATATTTGAGTAATCCTCCTTGAAGTGGAATGTGGTTATTGGCAAAAGAAAGTAGAATCAGTTTTGACTTAAAAAAAAGGAAATTTTCAGATTTTTCTTGATGAAATTTAAGAGGGAGGTGAGGAGAAAGAGAATATACTTAGCAGCAGAGAAAAATTCCTCAAAACATTTGTTTCTCCATTCTTCATAGTCCACACCCTGGAAATCATTCCCACCCCTTTTCAGAAGGAAAATTACCATATGGATACTTATTCTATTGGCACTAATTAAGCAGCAAGGTCTTTTGAGGTTTCTGGAAAAGGCTGTTTTATACTTTTTAATAAATGTGCTGCTAGAAGACCAGTTTTGTAAATTGTGCACATGTATAAGATGAAACATAGCCTGCTTGTCTCTGCTTATGGCATTATTCGGTCATCTGAGCTTGAACTACTTCTGATCTGTACCTGGTACTGAAAATTTAGCTATTTTATATCACATAAATCCTAATGACTTGCCTTGCTTCACATTCAGCTAAGTTTGGGCAAGACTGCCATTGTTCTCTGAGACTGCAACTTCTTAAACTCAGTTATGTATTCATTAAAAAGGAAAAGCTAAATGAGTCTGTTCTCTGTGCCAGGCCAACAC